CCTCGTCGCTGTCTCGACTACACGTAAGAGTGACGCTTCACCAGAATGACCTCAGGTGCTGGCCACAAGCGGGTCGGGTGAGTTTTCTTTATGGAGTTAGCTTGACCTCGCGTCGACATCCATGTCGCGTGGTTGCGCTCGCATCTGAGCGCACCAGGTTTAGGCCCTCCCCCCCTGCAATCGACAGCAGCGCATACGCGGATCACCCTACAGACTGTATTGGTTTCCCGTGGGGTGGCCGGTCGACCGGGCGGTGCGCTTTCTGACGCAGGACCAGTCCCGAATCCCAGCCCAAATCCCACATTGTCCGATTGGCATATGCTTGGATATCTCTGAATATCTTCAGGTACATTGGAATATTTTTGAGTATGTTTGAACATCTTGTTAGAGCCAATGGGGGTCTTTCCTTTTGTAAGTTGTCCCATCTGGGCCTGCGGATGGGGCCGGTTTTGGCCATTGACGCCGGACCTGGTCGGACGTCATCGCGACGCGGCCCCGCAGTGCCAGACCTCATCGTGGTGGCCCCTGGCAGTACCTGCTTTTGCAGCGCCTTCAAGCTGCCATTCGGGGCGCTCGAATCCAATCGGCGGAATTCCGCGGTTGCCCGTTGGCGCAAAGCAATTTTTGGAGGCACGTCCCGCCGACCGTTGATGCGGCGCGGCTGTACCGGCATGCGCAGTTGCGCTGGGCCTCCAAGGTGTCCCCGCTCCTTTCCCCTCCTCCGCCTTTCCCTGATTCTCCTGCTCTTCCCGCTCCTTCCACTCCTGCTCCTGCTGCTGCTGTTCCTCCCCGTGCCCCTCCTTCCTCATCCTCCTCTTCTCAGGAGGGAAAAAATCACAGACACAAGTAATCGTCAATTTCCAAGAATATCTGGGAAACTATGGAAAGTGGGAGGGACGACGAACGCCCAGAAAGTAGTGGAAAATATATACGGAATCTGGTGATTTGCGTGCATTTATTTGCGTGTCCTTGGGCCCCTCTATCTTCCTCCTGCATACCATCCTGCTCATCCGCCACCTCCTCCCCCGGAACAAGTTGTGGCAAGATGCCGCCCAGGACAAACATTCTGGGGGATCCCACCTTGAATCCATGGTGACTGGTCAACTGTCTGCACAACAGTGACATCTTCGAGTTCACGCGCAAGTGAGCGGCAGGTCGCCACGCGGCGCGGCCCCGGCCGACACCTGCCATCCCGGTCCCGATCCCGATCCCTCCGCTGTGCACAGCTCCCTCGTTCTGCTTGCGCGCAGCACGGCGGTGTCCTCTTGGAGGTTCCAGGTCGTCTGTGACACCGGTCGGCGGACGGAGGCAACATCAGCGCATCAGAAGGGATGGAGAGGAAGCATGTTGCCAAATAATTTCCAGATGTCTAACAGCTGCTTCAAATATGTTTGAAACATGTTTTCAACATGTTTAGAACATGTTTTCACTTCTTAAACACATCTTTAATTCAATGATAGGATTGTTAGAGTGTCCACTGTCATGGCGTCCACAAACCTAGCTTGTCCTCCTCCTCTCTCTCAGCTACCCTCCTCTCCTTCACACTTCTCTACCATGAGCGCCACTTCATCGCTCGCCTGACGATGCGCGCGCGCGTGCGCTCCCAACTCCTTCGCATGCGCGAAGGATCTGCAGACGTTGATGGTTATGGTTGTTTTCGGATCAAAGCGGTGCACTCGATGCAGCGCTGGCCAGAGTTCGGGATCGGCGCCTTGCTTCCGTCGTGCAGACTGGCGCTCTAGCCCTAGCGTGGGCCACATCCCTGGGTCCGATTCGTCCACTGTCGTTGCCGCCCCCCCCCTTCTCCCCTCCTCCGCCTTGCCCCGGTCCTCCTGCTCCTCCTTTTCCTGCTGCTGGTTTTCCTCCTCCCTGATCCTCCTCCTCCTCCTCCGCCCTTTGCTCCTCCCCCTCCTCCTCCCCCTCCTCCTCCTCCTCCTCCTCCTCCTCCTCCTCCTCCTCCCTCTCCTCCTCCCCCTCCCCCTCCCCCTCCTCCTCCTCCTCCTTCTCCTCCTCCTCTTCCTCCTCCTATGTGAATGAGCTCCCTTTCCGATTACGCAGCAACTGATGTGTAAACTTCTGTAACTGCCTTGTGGGCATCAAGGTTTTCTAGAGCACTCCAGTCGGCGGGTAGACAAGGATTCCGCGCAATGAGAGATGATGGATGGGAAGGGTAGGATGTAAGATGCGGCGCAAACGCACATAGCTTGACTCTCCCCCTCTCTTTCTATCTTGCTATTTGTTTGGTCTTCTCCTCCTCGCCCTCATTCTCTGTTCCTCCTCGTCGTCGTCCTCCTCCTCCTCGCTTCTCGCCTCTCCTCCCCTTCTTCTCCTCTTCCTCCTCCTCCCTCCTCGTCACCGTCTTCTTCCGTCTGGTGGGTGGCCTCCGGCGACCGACACAGCATGACGGTTAGCATCATCGGATGTACGAGTGAAGTAGCAATGCAAGGAGATCGGTATGGTTTCACATGGGACCGCACATGAGTACATTCGCCAGGCGGTATGTACAGGTGACGCACCATGTGCGGGGCAAGTGTGATCTACACTGAGTAGTGATGCCATGGGATGTAGGGTCAGTCAATATGATGCACTCTTCTATGTGTCCGCATGTGTAGTGGTGTATCGCTTTCATATCTGCGAGCAAAAGTGTTCCATGCCTGTGAAATGAGTGCAAGGATGTGTCCCGCGCGCGTGTATGTGTGTGTGTGTGTGTGTATGTGTGTGTGTGTGTGTGTGTGTGTGTGCGTGTGCGTGCGTGCGTGCGTGCGTGTGTGTTGATGTGTGTGTGTGTTCTTCCGCCAGCGCAGTCACTCTGCCCAGCCGCCGACGTAAGCGTGTGTGTGTGTGTGTGTGTGTGTGTGTGTGTGTCTGTGTGTGTGTGTGTGTGTGTGTGTGTGTGTGTATGAGTCCTCTTTTTCCTCTTCTCCTCTCTCCGCCACCGCAGTCACTCTGCCTAGCCGCCGACGCAACAAGTGTGTGTGTGTGTGTGTGTGTGTGTGAGTGTTTGTGTGGCTTGCTACGGCGCTGCTCGCTCTGAGCGGCTTGATGGCTCGGCCGCTAGTCGCGCGCGCGCGCCCGCATTCTCTTCTCTGACTTTTGATGCCCTGTCGCTGCGCACGGGGCCGCGAAAACCAAACAGTGTGTGTGTGTGTGTATGTGTGCGTGTGTGTGTGTGTGTTTGTGTGTGTGTGTGTGTCTGTGTGTGTGTGCGTGTATGTTTGTGTGTGTGTGTGTGTGTGTGTCTTTGGATTGCGGTCAGGCCCAGCTCGAGACGACCTAAGTGTTTCTATGTGTAAGTGCGTGTATGTGAGAACTGTATGGCTTTACTGCATGCCTTTGGTACTGTTCCATCCGCTCGCGCCCGAAGGAGACCGAGAAGTTCGATCTAATTTTTGCTATACTGACGGATCTGCAGTCGGGCCAGGCGCAGCTGGAGGAGTCCATCAGGGACATCAAGAAGCATGTCAGTGGTGTTCAGGAGAGTCGCCAGTTCACGCTCTCATGCCCGCGGGCACCCGATGCTCTGTGCCAGTCTGTGGAGCTTGTCTCGGGCCGCCGAAGCTCTTTTTGCACGAGTGGTCGTGTGCGTCTGTATGTTATCATCAGGCTGCCCTGCCCTCTCCCCTTGGGTGCGAGCTGCACGTCAGCAGTTGGGATACGGTCGCTCGGTGGGCGAAGTGAGTGTGTCCGCATGGTCGCTGCCGAGGCTGTGCGTGTGTACGCCTTGCCGCGCGTGGCCCCCCACTGAGTGAACCGTGTGGTAGTATACGGTGTCAGGGTTTTTGTATGCATGCCCAGCCAGTGTCCGGCTGGGTGGTGTTCTGAACCAACATCGTGCCTACACATGATGTAGTTCAGTCTGCATGCGTACTCACGTGTGTCTCAGCATGCGAGCCCGCCGTTTCCTTCCAGAGCAGCTGCGACTGCGGAGAGCGCTGGGAAGTCGCACAGCCTCTGCCTTTGTGGATCGCAGTCGCCGCGCGCCCGAGGAGCGGCCCTGGAGTACCCCCTTGGATGGGGAGGAGTAGGTGGGAGGACGAGGGGAGTGAGGATACACATGATCATCGTACGATACAGACGAGACCTGTCAAAGCCTATGCGCCCTCACTCCAGAGGTCTCCCCGTGGTCGGCTGCTGGCGCTTCACAGACGATTCAATCTTCCCCGTGCAGGTGCTCTGTGACCCTTGCATTCAGTCTTGCAGAGACCCTGCCAACGCCGCTGAAGCCTAGCAGGCACACATACACACAGACACACACAGACACACACAGACACACACAGACACAGACACACACTGACACACACACAGACGCACATAGACACACACACAGACACACATAGACACACATATACACACAGACACACACACAGACACACAGACACACAGACACACAAAGACACATACACAGACACACAGACACGCACAGGCACGCACAGACACACAGACACACACAGACACACACAGACAGACACACAGGCACATACACAAGCACACACAGACACACGCACACAGATACACGCACACAGACACAAACAGACACACACAGACATTCACACAGTAATACACATCTATACACACAGACACACACTGACACACACAGACACACACAGACACACACACACAGACATACACAGACACGCACTGACACACACAGACACGCACACACGCAGACAGACATAGACACACAGACACAAACAGACAGACAGACGCACACACACACACACACACGCGCACGCATGCACGCACGCACACATGCACACACGCACACACGCACACACGCACACACGCACACACGCACACGCACACATACACACGCACACTCGCACACACGCACACACGCAGACACGCACACACGCACACACGCACACACACACCACGCCCGCACACAAAGTGACACACACACACACGCACACGCGCCCACACCGACACACCCACACCCCCACGCTCACACACACACACACACACTTTTTGATCTGCGGGGCGAGGGCGAACCTCTTCCGCTAAAAGCTAGCCTCACACACACACACACCGTGCAAAACGCATAACCTGGTCTGACCACGAGCTGGTGCCGATGTCCCGGGGCCATCTCGACAAGGAGGACATGGTGGTGGAGGAGGAGGAGGAGGAGGAAGCTGCGGATGTGGGGGAGGAGGAGGCTGCGGAGGCTGGGGCCGAGGTGCGCGCCGGCGGAGAGCTGCGGAACGTGCCCCCGTGGTGTGCGAAGTCTCGCCGCGGGCGCTTGGGCCAGCTTGACCTGGGCCGTCAGGCTTCGAGCAGGCAGGGCAGCCCACGATCCGATTCGCTGTGACTCGACTCGCCGTCAGGGGCCGCGGTTCCGATCCGATCCGATTCGATTCGGATCGAGCCACCGGCATCTGCCGGCGTCCACCTGGAGACGGGCCCCGCGATCCGATCTCGGTCCGATCAGGGACGATTCGCTGGCGGTCCGATCCGTTTCCGATCCGCTCCGATCTCGCGGTGCGACTGCGCGCAGGCCTGGCAGCATGTGGCTGGATTGCGCCCTCGAGGGAGGAGGAGGACGAGAGGGGGAGGGCGCTGGGGTGGTCGCCGGCCCCGTCGACAACCCCGAAGCGACGCGTCGTGGAGGAGCACCGCCCGCCGGAGGCGCCGCGCACCCGCGCCGCGTCGCGCCGACGTGGCGAGTTTGACCCTGGTCGGGAGGGGTACATCCGCGCGTTTACTGCGAAACGCAGCGCAGGATGCCCATGCCAACGAGCCCGCCATGACCTGCCCGTCCAGACCTCGTGGCCTCGCGGCGATGGGTACAGTGGAGGCCCATGCCAGGAAACACCCTGCTTGCCTCCAGGGTGCCCTGGGTTCCTTGGGTTTCGATGGTTTTGCGACGGAAAGCGTGACGTTCCCACACCAGAGATCAATGGACGTCCTGGGGTCTCAGGGTCGGGTCTCTCGCGGAAGGTCTCTTGTGGATCGGCCCCCACGGTAGCTCCTGCCCAGCGGTGGCGCGGCGCTTTTGGGGGCACGCGGCGAGCGAGGGAGAGGCCTTGTGGCCGAGGCGTTCCCGAGAACCGACCTTGGGGGACGAGGGCCCAGAAAGAGCCAGCAGGGGTCAGGGGCAACGATAGGGGGGGGGGATAGGCACAGGCGGGGATGCATCGACCCCGCATCGCCCATTGATCGCCGATAGGGGCCCGACAGCCCCAACCTGCACAGGAAGGTGCGGATTCACTATCGGGGGCCCATCGCCGATCTATCGGCGATGTATCGTCGACTCCAGGTCGATGCATCCCCCCCCCCATGCCAGTCCCCCCCTATCGTTGCCCCTCAAGGGGTCCACCCGCCCGGCCCCAGCTCGTGGGTCTCGCCTGCAGCCCCTTGCAAGCCTCACCCCTACGGGTCCGCTCGACGCCTGGGTGTCGCACACCCCCGCAGGGGCTCACCTGGCTGCAGACCTCCTTCGCCCGCCGGTGTGCCCCCGAAACTGCCCTGCAGGACAGGCTGCGCAGCCGCCACTCTGGTCAGTCCAGGCTGGCCCTCTCTGTGCACGACTCCAGAGGGAGCCTGCTGCAGCCGACACCGCCCGCGAGGTCCCTCATCTTCTGAGCGAGCGCTTCGCCTTTGCCCTCCCCCCCGGCGCCTTCTGCGCCTGATTTACGATTCCGCGTCCAGGCTTGCCGCCCCGACCGCGCTGAGCGTTCGCCAGCGTTGTGACGAAAAAGGGTTAAGGTCTAGAGTGACAGGACCTTTCAAGTTCCTTGTGTTATGGCAGTCGCGTTGCGACTCGAGCTAAGCTTCGAGAGAGCCATGAACAACATGGCGTCACTTATGCCAGTTTCAGTTTTGATGCCATTCAAGTCGCTGGTGCACGCGGTGCCTGCGACTCTTTGCGCCTGGTCCTGACAGCGCTGCCCGACCTTCTCAATCAGGACATGACTGTTTGCTGATCACTTGGGAGAGATACGATGACGATGAGTGCGCTTGAGACTATGAGGAAAGGTGGCGCGCACAAGCGGAGGACGTCAGGTAGTTCGGATGGACGAGCGATGCAATGCGACCGACGACGATGGATTATAAAGCCTCCCAGAACATGCCGCTGAACCATGGCCATTTCAACGCAAGCAGCAGTGGCGGCCCTTTCCAGGCGGACGATTTGTTTTGCCTGTACATGCCTGTCGTCGTTCCGCTTTGAAGTTCGTGACGTTGTTTGAGAGTGTCACGATGATGTGGGCTTACCCCCCTTCCCCCTAGAATCGTAGCCGGCTGAGTCAAGACCAGTCGGATCAAAGATCTGGGATTTCTGAGTCCATGATTCTACAAAATTCGAAGGCATTTTTGTTCTTACTATTTTCAAATATTGGGGAATGTTGAAATCCCAACGTAGACAACACACAGGGCTAGAGCCCCACTGGACGGGATACTGCCCCTGCCAATGGAATATGATTACATCTCATTTCGTCACGCAACATTCCAAACATCCAAGTATTGTCGCCGGGCTATTTGCTTTGCACGTTGATAGCTTGCATGCATGGCGCCTCGTTTGTTCTAGGGTGGTGCTGTGAAATTTGGTTGGCAGGAGGGCAGAGAGGTATCTTCCGAATAATAAAGCGAGCAAGACGTCGAGTTGGCTGACAAACGCTGCTCCCAGTATGGTCAGATGGACGGTGTGATGGGCCCGCAAATGGGTCTTTGCCTCAGCTGTCCAGATCGCTTTCTCTGTAAATTGACGTTCTGATCAGCTGGCTGTGAGGACAACCTGGCGGCCCTCTTCGAAGTGAACGCCTGCTGATTAGAAGGAAATGAGTTCGCCCCCCCTCCTCCTCTGCCTCCTCCCACAAAACCATTCTCGCCGGGCTTCCCTCCTGGCTCCTCTCAGTCCTGGTCCCTCCTGGCCTGAAGAGTCTCATAGTATCCCGCTGGCTTGCGACGTCCAGAAACATGATTTCTCGCTCGGGTCGAATCGATTGCACGGTGTCCCTTCCGCGGGACTGGATTCAGTTGGGTAGCTCATGCGGGTTGCGCATGCGCATGCGAGTTGCGTATGGTATCTGGCGCAAGCATTATTGTCAATCTGCTTGCCTGCTTGTTCGTGTGCGTGCTTACTTGATCCTAAGTCATGACGCCGCGTCCACATGGAGTCAACTCTGGTAGAAAGTTTCGTCAACTTTCGCGGCCAACGCGAGCTAAATGCCCGCGGGCGGTGCTGACCCAACGCGGCGCGATGGTCCCTGAGGGCTACAGGGCATCGCGAGTTCAACGGCGCGCAGGGGCACGGGTAGTGGAGGCTCGCCATTGGGGGTGGGGAGGGGACGGGGGGCGGCGCTCTCCTGCTCACCACTTGCTGCCCCTGGGCGTCGGCTTCTCCAGCGATCGCTCGCACCCGACCCCTGGACTGCTGCAGGGGCCGCCATGGTTGGTCACGGAGGGTTGGAGGCGTGGGAGTTCCCTTGTGACCTCCCCGCGGGGACCGCCATTCAGGACTGCGACTGCTGTCGGTCGGGGGCTTTTGCTCAGCGTGTTCGCCGCCGGCTCTGGCCCACCACGCCTCGGCGCGACACGCTAATCACTTCCTAATTCCAGAGCGTTAACGTGCCCAGCCTTTCCGAGCCTCCTGGCCCCGGAGCGGAGCGACACGCTATCCGCTGGCAGGGCATAGCGTGTCGTCAGGGCCGCCGCCGTGACACGTTAAGCAACATTTTCCAGGCCGTATCGCCATAACTGTTGGGTCCGACGCAGCCTGGACGACTGGGCGGCGGACGTGGTCACAGTCGGCTGCCGAAGTGCCACGGCCTCCTTGTGCCTCACAGCTCCCTTGTGGCTGGCTCACCCTCCTTCTCCTCGACTCGACTCTGATGATATTGGAGTTCGGTGGCGAACGCTGCCATAACCCACCGGTGGCCTTCGCCACTGGAAGGTGGATCAAACCAGGTAGCTGTAAACGTAGAGGGACGTTCCCAGCAGGGAAGAAGATCCTCCAGGGTGAGGAGTAGCCAGGTCCCCCAGCGTCCCGCGGAGGGGTGGGGGAGTTGGGGAGAACGACGAGGCGGCGACGGCGAGGGCTGCGACGGGCAGCTCTCGTGAAGGGACACCGTGATGTGTCCAGAGAGGCGCGGGGAGTGAGGTCAGTCGGCGGCGGCAGCAGGCGGCTGGGTGGTCCACAGCGAGCCCACGCCGTCGCCCCCTGGTTGGCCCGCTCCCCCCTCCATCCACAAGGGGTTGGGAGGAGAAGATTAGTGGGGAGGGAGGTGGGCAGCAGCAGGGGTGCCCGCCTTCCCAGGCTTCTCGACAGGAGGGAGGCGCTTGCTCTCGTGCCCGTCGTGCGGGCGAGGCTGCGGCTCTAGGCGGCGCGGCGAGAGGGGATAGACTTGCTGCGCAGCCTACGCGCGAGGTGGACAGCAGCAGGGGCAAGTGGCGGTCAGGAGGGAGGTGGAGGTACGACAAGCAGTACCTCGAGCGATGCCCGCGCGCACGACACCGCATTGATGGGAGGCGACGAACAACGCGAAGATGATCACCTCGAGCTCTGGGTCGACTGGATCAACCGGACTACGCATGAGGTGCAGCAGCTGCTGGAGAAACCGAACGTTGACGATTGGTTCACTACCCAAAGAAGCAGGAAATGGAGATGGGCGGCGCAATGTGCATCTGATCGCCGTAAATGGACCTATAAATGCTTACTGTGGGAGCCCGCTCTGCACGCGGCATCCCGACGACCAGTTCGCAGACAAGCGAGGCCGAAAACGCGATGGGTCGATGATATACGCAGGCACGTGGAGCTATTTGTAGGCATTGCTGGCGGGACAGATGAGTGGATTGACGTGTCCAGAACACCAAAGTGTAATGATCTAGAGATGATTTTTGTACGTCATGAATGAGACTATTCGCCGTGATACCCTTGCCTGTCGCTTCAGATTATTCGTTTTTTCGGGCGCTCCAGCCCTGCCCCGCTCAGTCCCCTTGCGTGGGCGCTGTTGCGGGCACCGTCTACCGTCTACCTATCGTCAACCCAACCCCCCTGGCAGAGACCTGAGCAACAGATCTATCCGTAGTCCGCCGATCGACCGACCGAGCCTCCTCGTTCTCCTCCTCCTCCTCCTCCTCCTCTTCCTCCTTCTCTTCTTCCTTCGCATCCTTGTTCGTGTCGTCGTCGTCCTCTTTCACCTTCTTTCTCCCTCCCCTCTCCTCCACTTGCCCGTGTAAGGTCCAGAGATGGGCGGCCAGCAGATCGTCGTCCAGCCCGATGGGAGCCAGGCCGTTTTCATGCCGATGCCTCAGGCGGCGCGCGCAAGCGCTGGGAGTCCATCCTGCTTCCAGATCAGGGCCTTGCAGACATTCAGTAGTCACATCGAGTAAGAAGCTGTCCTGCCCGCAGATGCCCGACGGAAGGTTCTTATCCCCCAGTGGCCCCGGGGGCCCCACGGAAGCCATGGGGCAGCTCAGGGCCCTCAGCGATCGACGAAGAATGTGCCCAACATATGTACCGTACAGGAAGATTTCCCGTCGTGTGTGCCTGCTGTATCCCGGGGGACGTCTTCGCCCCCTCTCGGGCCCCAGGGCCCAACAGTGCAGGCCAGTCTTCAAGTAGCCTTCCACCAAAAAAAAAAAAGCCCAACCCCGAGACCCCAGGAGGTCCACTGATTCTTTTGGTGCGAGAACGTTGCGCTCTCCATAGCCAAACCATCGGCACCCAAGACAACCAGGGCACTCTGGAGGCAAGCAGGGTGCTTCTTGGCATGGGTCTCCAGTGCACCTCGGACACTCCGAGGCGCCACGAGCGCAAACTTGTGGGCTGCCCGCGCGGACTCCTCGCGTCGGCCGCCGCCTCCCTGCCCCTCCTCCGCCGGCGCCGCCCCTGGCGCGCCTGCGCGTGCAGGGGGGAGGGGGCTCCAGCGCCGACCCAAGAGCCGCGCGCTCCTCCGAAAGTTTCTTCCATTTTCGGGGCCCCCCCTCCTCCTCCTCCTCCTCCTCCTCCTCCTCCTCCTCCTCCTCCTGGCTTGTCGCCGGAGTGACCTTTGGTGCGGGCCCAACGGGGGCTTCCCGATCGCGTCACGCGGAGCGGTAGCAGCGGCCTGCGCGCCCAGGTCTGGCCACCCCGCGCCCTCCGTTGAATCCCGCAGCAGAGGTCACTCCTTCCCAGGGTCACCCGTGCGTATAGCCGGCCCAGAAGCGTGGCGGATTGACCCGGCTCGAGGAATGTCGCAGAATGATGGGACCGATGGCGTTGGTGGTGTTTTTTCGCGGCGTCTAGTTTCTGTTTCGTGGCATTGTTCGAAACCGAGGCCATCGCCGTGAACGAAGGTGCCCAGGCGCATCTCGCAAGGCGCGCGGCCGCCAGGATCCCGACCAAAGCCAAGCCAGACGAAGTCCAGGGGGAAATCTTCCAGCGCCAGCATTTACCAGGACGTCAATGATCAAGAAGCCTCCCCACTTCGACTTGGCTCAACGTTTCTTCGGCAGTCTCCTAGTGCGCTGGCCCAATCTCTTCTACCCTCTGCGCACGCCCAGAGGCTGAGCGGGCAGGGCCAGCCCAGCGTCTGCGCGAGCTCTTGCCCTCAAGCCCTCCGAGCTCTCTTGGGCGGTCTTGCTCTTGATCGTAGCTCTGGCTGTAGCTGCGCCCCCTGTCCGGTGCAGCGATCTTGACCCCAGACATCCGCCGATCTGTGTTTTCAGTCTGGGCCAGACCTCCCAGCCATTTCCCCGGGGTCATTTTTTCGCGCTGGACCATATTGTGATGGTCCCGGGGCCCAGAAGGGAGACCCGCCCAGAGGGCCGAAATCTAAGTAAAACCGCCGGTTGAAAAAAACAGATCGTCGGAGATCTGGGGCGATCGCGAATCCTGGGGCGCCCCCGAGGCGAGCGAGTCACCGAGTCTCCCGCCGAGCATGGACATGGCGCGAGGGGCACCAGGGGCCCCGAGGTTCTCGGGGGGCCGCTGCGGGCCTGGCGCCGCGGCGGCAGCCGCCCCGACGACAGGGTGAGCAGAACTGCGGATGCGCCGATCTCTGAGAGCCCCCTCTCTCCCTCATGCTGCAGACTACCACAACATTTCCCAACTATCCTGTGGTTGTCGGTCCTCGTTTTGGAGAGACAGCGCCCCGCGCCTCACTCCCACCTTCCGCTGCCCCCTCCCGTGCTCCTTTTCTTGCCTCTGCTCTCAGCATGTCTCTGTTTCGGCATACCCCTGACGCGTTTCGTGGCCCGATGGGGTGCTTCGCCGAAGACCCCAGTGGGGGGGGGTCCACATGCGGCTCCCCGTCCATCTCGGCACGCCCTTCACACGTTTCGTGGATCCATAGGGGACTCCACAGAAGGCTCCAGTGGGAGGATCCACATGCGGCTCCCCGCCCATGTCGGCACACCCTCACACGTTTCGTGGCCCCATCCTATAGGAAGCTCCACCGAGGGCCGCAGTGGAAGGGTCCATATGCGGTTCCCCGCCCATGTCGGCACACCGCTCACACGTCTCATGGCCCCAACAGGGAGCGCCACCGAAGACGCTTCTCACAACTGCGTTACCCATAACTGCTTTCCTGGTTGTGCCTTTCGCCAGGATGAATCCTCTGAGAGCCTCGAGTGCACATCACAGGTTGTACAGACTGCCACTGGAGATGATAATACCAAACATGGGTTGGCTTGTGCCAGAGACCAGGTGCTGTATAGGACAGTGGGGAACACGCCTTCCTCCGACACGTGCATCCAACGAGCCCCGGCCAGCCCGCGCTGCCCCCGAAGGGGCCCGCTGGCTGGCCGGCCAGTGGACTCTGCGCGCTCCGCTCCGCCTCTGCGCGGGCATCCTCACGGCGTGTCCTGGAGTGCCGATGGCCGGTTTGTGCGCGCCCAGCGGTGGGGGTCGGTGGCTCAAGTCCCACGGCCGCGCGCCCGCTTCCTCCGCCTTCCGGTTCCTCTCCCCCCCTCCTCCCCCTCTTGTCCCCCCTCCGGGGTATCCCCCCTATGGTCGCCGGGCGTCCTTGCCCGCGCTCGGTCTTTCACCCCCCCCTTCCCCCTGGCATTTGGCCGGGGCGGCGGGGCCGGACAGGTGGTGCGCAGCGTTACGAGGTACGATTGGGGCCGAAGTAGATCGCCAATCTGTGCGTTTGCCAGTCCGTACAGTCTCACGCAGTGCCACCCATTCTGTACGATCGGCTGTGGCCACGGTTCGCCCCCTCCCGCAGTCTTGAATTGCCAGGCTTCGCTTCAGCCAAGAGCCCTGCCCCTCCCCTGTGCGCCTCGCCCCCCTGCTCTACGCGGAACTCTTCCACGCCTGAGTGCTTTCCCCTCCCCCTCCCCTCGCGCGGCCGCCCTCGTCCTTTTCCTCCCTCCTGCACGCTGGTCACTTCGCCTTTCGGTTGCCCCGAATCGCCACACGCTGGAACGGACTGCTTCTGCCTCGCCGCCGCCGAAAAATGCTCGCCTCGGCCCGCGTCTTTTCGCCAGCTTCTGGCAGGCTGGCCTCGTCTCCCGAGGGCAGCTCTGCGCCCGCAGCAGACGCGGCGGCGACCCGAGTGCGGGGGCTCCAGGTCGAGCGCTGCTGGTTGCCCGGGCTCGGCCAGCATCGAACGATCTGCGCTATCGGGAAGTCAAGGGCAACGGTAGAGGGGGAGAGGCATAGGGGGGATGCATCGGCCCCCAGTCGCCCATTGATCGCCGATAGGGGCCCGATAACCCCAACCTGCCCAGGAAGATGTGGATCCACTATCGGAGGCCTATCGCCGATCTATCGGCGATGTATCGCCGATGCCAGGTCGATGCATCCCCCCTATGCCAGTCCCCCCCTATCGTTGCCCGTCATAAAACCGCAGTTGCTCAAGGCTGAACGATCCACGCAGCGTCAGAAACCGATGTCGGCGTCATCATGCTGTGAGCCTGCCGTGGTGCTGGAAGCTCACGTGTCTCTGCGCGTAAGGCTGCCCCGGGGTCCGCCCGAGGCTCTGCGGAAAAGCTGGCCGAGAGTTCTGAACCCTTCGATTCGCATCTTCTTAGCCGTACTTCCGGCTGTACTCTAGCAGGTGGAAGCTGGAAACTTTGGACCCCATATGCTGTACTTCTACTTTTACTGGGCCCTGGACGCCTCACCACTGCTTCCGCCGCCTTCCACTGGCCCTCGCCAGCTTCCGCCGGATGGCCCGCCGACGTTTGATGTTTGATTTCGCCACAGCTTTCGCCAGCCGTCCGCCGGCTTCTGCCGAGGGCGAGACGCGCCGCAGGCAAGGCCGTTTCCGGAACGCCTCCTGTGGGAAGGGACCCAGAGAGGCTGTCGCCGAATGCTGGCGTCCTTCCCATGCATCCAGGCTCAGTGCGCGGGCAAGATCGCGGCGGTGACCCCGAGGGTTGTACGTCGGTGTGCAGGTGAGTGCTCCGCAGGTGCATCACGTTGCGCGGAGAAGTGCTGTGCATTGCGAGTCTGGTAGAGGTTGGAACGTTCAGGTGTGCTGGTAAAATCGTGGGTTGCCAGAGGTCGCCACAGTGCCCCAGGTAGAGCGCGGCGGAAAGAAGATAGATGGAGGGCGCCAGGTGCGTCACAAGCCCTCTGGAAGTGCCGCCGGAAAGGAGGAAGAGCTCGGGAGGGCCCAGAGCGCACGACGCGGAGGCAACCCCTCCACCCAAGCGTGGCGGTGACGCCGGGGCAGTCCGTGGAGAAGGTCGTTGCAGCGCTGGTGGGTCAGCCCATGCACTGGAGGGCGGAGGTTCTGCGGGTGCAGCGGGTGGTGCAAATCGTCGGGGTCCAGCGCGTGGAGGCGATGGTGGAAGTGCCACAGGGACAGCGCATCGTGGAGGTGGCGACCGTTCACCGACAATGGGAAGGTGGCGATCGTTCACCAAGAAGACCGTGGGGGGGATGAAAAGCTTGCCTATAGGTTTCAGCGCGGGCGGCCGTCGACAATAACGACGTTCTCCAAGGCCCCCGAGCCGGACCCTTGGAGAAGCGAAGCCAGAAGATGGGGCGCCTGTATTAGTATTACAAGCAAGTTGCAACGGATATAGCCTTCGTGCTTGCGTGCAGGGCCGTCCTGCACAATTGGATCCAATCGCAACTTTGAAGGATACTCAGCACCCCCGCAGTCGTGCAGACAGCCAAGGCGCTCAAGTAATGGCCAATTTGGGTTCAGTAGGGGCTCTGGTTTTCGTGCCGTTCGTTAGATCTAGGTCGGGGAACGGCCGAGGCTCGCCGTGGTCAGAGAAGCCCATTCGCTACCTAACCAACGCTCCCTATGGTAGCATGATGGCTGTAGGAGTGAGAGGCCACTCTGGGTTTAGAAAGATGGAAAAAGTGGCCGGGGCCGGCTAGGTAGTACCCTCCAGTCTTTCACGGCTTGGCGACCTCATCCCACCCATTTCTGGATCGTTTTAGCCCCTCCAGTTTCTCCAGCCTTGGCCACTTCCACTTTCATAGCATTTCGAATTTCCACTTGTTCCAGCTTCCCTATGTAAGACGGGCAATGATCATGCTAATCGTGGTAAGAATAGTAACAATAGAGGTCAGGGCCCCCGTTGGCGTTTGCTCTGTTCACCGCGTCGCAAGGGGCTGGCGACCTTTCCCAACAGGGATCCCCATTTTGAGGCGTAGCGGTGAGCGGACTCTCCTTGCTGCGAGGTGCGAATTGTGTGATGCCGCGGGAGAAGGATGTGCGATCGTGCCTGACACGAGGCGAGATGAACATGCGTGTGCGACTCGAGACGCTGACGTGCGTCAGAGGAGATGGCGTGCAGGACGCGAGGTGCTGACGTAGTCGTCCCCGAGACGCGCCCAGACCAGTGCGCCCAGATCTCCTTCCCGGCGGCGCGCCGAGGGGTGAGCGAGACAGGGCAGGCCTTCTCGGAAGGCGGCGGGACTTCTCGTAAGCCCCCTGGCCTCCCGAGAAGCCCTCTGTGGCTTCGGAGGGAGCTCCGAGAGCTCCCCGGAAGGCCGGGGCCCTCTGGGAGCCTTCCGAGAGGGCCGGGGCCCTCCCGAGCCTTCGGAGAGGGTCCGCCCTGTCCGCCTTCCCTCCTCGGCGCGCCGCCGATCTTCGGGCAAGTGCGGTGCAGCTCCACGACGTCGCCGAGGCGCCGCAGAGGAGCGGCAGGGCACGACGCACCTCCCAGCGTGTGGCCGTGGCCACGACCGCCGCCCTGCAATTGGTGTCTTGCTCCTCCCCCATGCTTTTTCCGCCCGCTCCCTCCGCCTCTTCCTCTCCTCCTCCTCTTCCTTCCCCCCCTCCTCCCGCCCTCCCTTCTCTTCCACGCCCTTCTTCCTGCTCTCTCTTCCCCCCTGCCGCATCCCTCCCGCCTTCTGCCTCCCGCCTCCTTCCTTCCTCCTCCCTCCTCCTGCCTCATCCCTTCCGCTCCTGCTCCTGCCGGGGTCTAGCTAGCCATCATTCTCCTGCGTTGACAGTTGTTGTGGCCGCGCTTCTGCGTGCACTGTCCTGCACTGGTTCTGCAGGGTGGGGGGGGGACGTTCGAGATTCGAGGTCTTTCTGACTTTTTCGAAGGTTCTTGTCAGCTTTCCAGCCTCTGGATGCCTTCCAGCAGCTGCGCCTCGCAAAGGGCGTTCCAGGGGCGCCCATATCGTCTCGAACGGCCTCCACAGAGCCGAGTTATGGCTCGAAAACCAGACGTCGCGGCCGTGCATGCATCGCTGTTGCGTTGGTGCGTTTGTTTCTTCACCTTCCCTTTCGTTTCCCTCGAGTGCCATATATGAGAGACGAACGTCCCCGTCGCGGCCAGCCTGTACCGGCTTGCGTAAAGCTGCTAGCTTGTGGACCCGCTGCTTCTATGGGTGGCCTCCTGGTCCAGGGTCGTTCCCTCCGCCCCACTCGCTGCTGCTGCCGCTCCATGATTCTCTCCTCCTCCTCCTCCCCCTCCTCCTACTCCTCCTCCTCCTCCTCCTCCTCCTCCTCATCCTCCTCCTCTTCCTGATCCTCCCACCTAGGGTGTTGTCGTTTCTGATCCCCCCGCCTTTCTTGCTGCTCTTTCCCATCTACTCCTCCCTTGCCTCTTCGTTCTGCGAGACATCTGCTCGCAAGAGCTGTTGGTGCCACGCCAGGTGATGGTCATGCAGTCTCCCACTGGTGGCATGATGCAGTCTCCCACGGGTGGCATGATAATGCAGCCCATGCAGCCGATGCAGCAGCAGGACCCAGCTTTCTATCGGACGCTCGTACCTCGGATACTCTCGCAGGGCTGAGAGAGACCAGGAGAATGAGCACGGGACACTTCAAGCGCCGAGCCGGGGCGACGGCGGGGTTCTCAAGTCTCTCTTCTGTGGCCTCGGCGGGTTGTCTTCGCAGCGGGTGTGACAGAGGGCAGGGTCGGGAGGGGCGTGAGGACGTACAGTCAGGACGCTGAGATAAGGACAACTCTGGGCCCAGGAGGGGCTTTCGTTTTCGGTCGTTTCTCATATTCAGGTCGGGTGGCCGATTTGCGCCCCATGCTCGCCGTGACCAGAAAAGCCCCTGCGTTCCCGACTCGGCGTTCCTTCTGGTAGCACGGTGGCTGTAGGTCAGCCTGGGTGTCGAAAGGGGGGCGGAGCGGGGAACAGAGTGGAGCTGGGTCGCCCCGTCCACCCCACCCGCTGCTGCTGCTGCCGCTCCATGCTTCTCTCCTCCTCCTCCTCCTCCTCCTCCTCCTCCTCCTCCTCCTCCTCCTCCTCCTCCTCCACCTCCTCCTCTCCCCTCCTCCTCCTCCCCTCCTCCTCCCCCCCTCCTCCTCCTCCTCCTTCCTCCTCCTCCCTCCTCCTCCTCCTCCTTCTCCCCCTCCTCCTCCCCCTCCTTCCTCCTCCTCCTCCTCCTCCTCCTCCTCCTCCTCCTCCGTCCCTCTCAATGTAAAGCCATCGGCTCCGAGATGGTGCAGTTTGTCGGCCAGGGCCCCGTCGGCCAGGAGATGGGCGCCGCCTTCGGGAGCTGCGAGGCCGCCCGCCCAGAGGGGAGCGTGCTTCGCGTGGCGCCAGGGCGGCGGGCGCGGCAGGCCCGCAGCAGCGGGGGCGTCCGGAGAGCCCAGAGGGGGGAGGGATGTGGACAGAGTCTTCTCCCGTCTCCGCCTCCTGTGTCCTCCTGCTCCTCCTCCGCCTCAAAATTCCTCTCTCTCTCTCTATATATATATATATCCCTCTGGCTCCTCATGCTGCACTGCTTCCTCCTCCCTTCTGGTTAGATTCCTCCTTATCCCTTATCCCTCCTCCTTCTCCCTTATCCCTTATTCCTTATCCCTCCTCCTCTTCCTCGTCGTTGTCGTCCGCCTCCTCCTCCTCCTCCTCCTCCTCCTCCTCCTCCTTCGTCTCTCTTTCTCCTCCTGTTCCTTCTCCCTCTCATCCTCTTCTCCGCAGTTCTCTTCCTCGTCGCCGTCGTCGTTGTCGTCCTCCTCCAAGGTGAGGTGGAGTTGGCAGGGGGGGATTGATTGAGGGGAAGATGGGGTATGATTTAGGGAGGGAGGTTGGGAGATGAAGAATCTGAGCAGGATGATGAGGGGCGAGGGAGAGGATGTAAGATACAGCGGAGCAGGGCGGATGATGATGACACTGACGCTGCTGCTGATGATAATGAATATGTTGCCGATGATGATGCTGGTGATGCTGCTGCCTATGATGAACATGGTGGCGACGGTGCCGATGACGACTGTGATGATGAACGTTTTGAGGTGTTGATGATGATGCTGGTAATGATGATGCTGATGATGCTGCTGAGGATGATAATGATACTGATGCTGATGCTGATGCTGATGATGATGCTGACGATGATGATGAGGAGGAGGAGGAGCACGAGGAAGATTACGCCAGAAGGAATCACGCCCGCCGCATCTTCTCTTCATGCGACGACATCTCGTAGCCAGGGAGCATGCCGAGGCCGCGACCGGGGAGCAGTGTGTGGACGGCAGCGATGGGAAGATGCCTGATACCGGCAAGCACGAGGACTTTGCGGCAGAGGAGGGGGCTGAGGAAGAGGAGGAGGATGAAGATGAAGAGGGCGAAGATGATGATGAGGAGGGACAGGAGACTGATGATGATGACGACGATGATGCTGATGATGATGAGGACGAGGATGAGGAGGATGAGGAGGAGGAGGAGGAAAAGGAAGAGGGGGGGACGAGGAGAAGCAGTGATGGAGAAAGGTAGTATAGGGAGGCAGGACAGAGGAGGGAGGGCCCATCTGGCAGGAGGGAGGAAGCAGGAGGAAGGAGCACATAGACGATGATGACAATGATAATGATGATGATGCTGATGATGATGACGATGAGGACGATGATGACGATGATGACGATGACGATGAGGATGAGACGATGATGACGATTATGAGGATGATGAAGCTGATGATGATGACGATAATGGTGATGGTGATTGTGATGATCATGATGATGATGACGATTATGCATATGATAAAGATACTGATGATGACGACGATGATGATGCTTCTTGTAATGATGACGATGGTGATGATTCTGATTGTTATCATGATGATTATGCTAATCTCGCTGGCGATAAACATGACGATGATGATGAAGATGATGACGATGATGCTGCTGATGATGCTGATGATGATAATACTGATGATGACGATGCTGATGATGACGACGATGATGGTGGTGATGATAATGATGATGTTGTTGATGATGATGATGATGATGTCGATTCTGGTTTCGATGATGGTGCTGTAAGGTCGATGCTGTTGCTCATGCGGAAACATGGTTATGCTGACGAGGACGACGATGACGTCATGATGATGATGATGCTGATGATGATGATGATGATGTTGTTGTTGATGATGATGATGATGATGATCATGCTGACTATTATGATGATGACGACGATGATGATGATGACGATGATGATGATGATGATGATGATGAGGATGATGATGATGCTGATGATAATTATCATGCTGGTGACGCTGGTGCTGCTGACGATGATTATGACTTTGTTGTCGTTGATAACGGTGATGACGATGGCGCTGATGGTTCTGAGGATTATCATTGTGATGATGATGGTGGTGGCTGTGGTGAGGGGGAGGAGGAGGAGGAGGAGAAGGAGGAGGAGGAGGAGGAGGAGGAGGAGGAGGAGGAGGAGGAGGAGGAGGTGGAGGAGGAGGAGGAGGAGGAGGAGGAGGAGGAGGAGGAGGAGGAGGAGAGGGAGGGGGATGGGTCCCGCATCCTCTCCTCTCCATCCTTATTCCTTAGCAGTAACTCCTCCCTGTCCCACCCCCAGATGTGTCGGTAGGGCGGACCCGTCGCTTCGCTTAAGATTCCTTCAGCACTTAAAACCTGAAGTTGGGAATTTGCAACAGTTTCAATGATCGAGGGCGGGCGGTTTAAAACATGTGGCTCTCGCGCTAGCGCATCGCACAAAAGCCGCAACGTTTGCAACAGTTTCAATGACGGAGGGCGGGTCGTTTTCAAAATGTGGCTCTCGCTTTTGATCCGCTCATATCCTTTGTAAACATGTGGAACAGCTTCAAGAATGGAGGGTGGTTCCTTCCCAACATGTGGGTCTTGCTGTTGCGCCACGCACATTCGCCTTGAAAGCTTGCAGCAGTTTCTACGGTTGAGGGCGGGTGGTTTTCAAAATGTAGCTCTCGCCTAAGCGCCGCGCGCATGCTTCCTAATATTTTCAACAGTTTCAAGGATGGAGGGCGGTTCCTTTTCACAATGTGGGTCTCGAATTTGCGTTGAGCGCATTCTTCGCAAACGTTTGCAACAGTTTCAAGGGTTCGTTTGGTGCAAGTCCCAGGAGCGGTGTTCTGGCATGGTATTCGCGGTGTTGACGTTCCAGGCACGGTGAACTGGTCCGTAATGTTCAGCACGCAACGGTCACATTGACTCGCGGCATTGAAATCCCAGGAATGTGTTTTGGGTTTTGGGACGATCCAGGATTGTCAGACGGTTGTCTTCCAATGGTGCGCTTCCCGCAATGCAAACACATCATTCTAGGGGTCTATGAAGAGGGAGCTTGGAGGGAGGGTTTATTGCAACACTATTGATGCGTCTTGGGTTTACACTGGTCCTCCTCCTCCTCCTTTTCCTTTTCTTTCTGCTGCTCCTCCTCCTCCTCCTTCTGCTCCTCCTCCTCTTCCTCCTCCTTCTGCTCCTCCTTCTGCTTCTCCTCCTCCTCCTCCTCCTCCTCCTCCTCCTCCCAAAGGTCCCCCGTGGGCCTCCGGAGGCCCCAGGGAGCGCAGCAACTGGCCCGCAAGCGCTCGATACCCCACCTCCCAGCTCAGCCGCCGAAACAACGATCATTTCGGGCTCAGGAGGGTCGCTGGTTTTCGGGGCGTTCCCTGGATCTAGGTCGGGGAACCTATTCGAAGCCGAGGCTTGCCGTGGCCAGAGACGCCCCTTCGTTCCTTAGTCAGCGTTCCGTCTGGCAGCACGATGGCTGGATCCGCCCAGGCCCCGCTTCCTGCTCCCTTCCGCCCCGCCGTCTCCAGCTTTTGGCCTCGTCCCCGGCCGCGCGCTCCTCCCCTTCCAGCCAGTGGCTGTGCCGGCCACGTGCATCCTATGTCTGCCTCCGAACGCGACGAAGATGCGCTGCTGCGACACAAGAGTTCGGGGGTGGACGGACCTCCTACCCCGACGCGTCGATTCAGGAATTTCGCCGTTTCCGGTTCGCGAGAGGGCGTCGCGGCCGTCACTTCTGCGGGTCCAGGTCCGTCGGTCTCGGTCCCAGGCCGTTGTCACCAAGGGGAGGCTGGCTGAAAGGGAGGCCTGCCCCCACCGCCGAAGAGGTGGGTGCTGCTGCCGGCCCCCCCGGGCCCTCAGAGCCCTGGGCCCTCCGGCGAGGCCCCGTCGGGGTCGACGCCTCCTTCTCGGCAGGGCAGGGCGGTGGAGAGCGCCCCGGCGGGGGGGGGGCGGCGGGAGGCCGGCGAGGGGCGGCGGGGGGGGACAGAGACGGGGGCGGCCGGCTCCGCCGGCGGAAGCCCGCGGAAGCGAAGTCGGGAGCCTCGAGGCGGGGGTCAGTGCGAGCGGGGGCCAGCCAGGGCGCCCGATCTTGCAGGGTCCTGCAGGGCCAGGGTCGCACTGGCCCTGGTTTGGGAGCAGGATCGTGCAGGACCTTGCAGGATCCTTCGCCTTGACCCGGGTTTGGGCGCAGGATCTTGCAGGATCTTGCAGGATTCTGCAAGGCCTGACTGACCCGGGTCTGTATTGACCCGGGTCAGAAGATTCCCGACATAGGGTGCGCTCCCAGGATTTTTTTTTTTTTTTTTTTTTTTTTTTTTTTTTTTTTTTTTTTTTTTTTTTTTGTTTTTTTTTTTTTTATCTCTCCCAGGCGGCAATTTATGCATGACCACCGCCTGGAGGATCAATTTCCGGGGACCTCGGCAGGTCGTGGATCTGTACATATCCGGGCCCTTTGGGTCCAAAATGTCCAAATATATATCCATATCCACCGCCCGCTGGGGCACCAGGACGTCGGTTCCCAGGCTGTGGATATGGATAAATCCATGCCTCGAACTTTCGTGTTGTAGACCAATCCAGGCTTCTGGGGTTGGCCATCTCGTCCTGATGTCTGCCAGCCTCCCCGGAGTGTCAGCTAGCATCCGTGCGCATGCCGGCTCGTTCATAATGCAGGATGTCGGGAAGAGGACATCGGGCGAGAGGCTCAGAGGTCAATGCTGCGTGGGTGGCTCAAGCCAGGTATCCGATGGACACGCCAGGCGGAGCAGCACCCACACCTCCAACGTCTGGAACAAAGCCAAACCACGTATTTGGTTTTCTGTGTTTTTTTTCTGCCTCCGGGAGCCGTTGTCGTGACAATCATCACCGAGCGCGTTCCGCCACTCGCAAAGTGCCTACTCGCAAACGTCAGAAAACACATGTCTGCTCCGATGTAATTTATCGTAGATCCCCCGCGGCGGATCCAGGCCATCTGCGAGTAGGTACTCTGCGAGTAGTGGAGCGAGCTCGTCTAGCTCAGGCAAACCGGGGTCGAACAACCGGTCCCCGGGAAGGGGTCGAGAGCTCCAGGGCCCGTGTATCGAATCAGAGTGCGCCAAAGGGTTGGTCACGGAGTCACTCTGCTTGCAATCGTTGGTTTTCAATGTTGATCTTCCGTCGCGACTTGGTTCGTGTCGTGGCTCTGTACCGTGATTCCTCATGGCGTTCGTGACTCCGTGCTGTTTCTCTTCGGCCGAGGCCGAGCAGACGAAAAGCGTCGCTACGGCCAGCTCGCTTCCTAGACCTCTTGGCCTTGTGGCACACGACACGACGGGCGTCGTTGTCCCCTGTCGGTCCGACTCGAGCGACGCCGCCTGAAAGATGGGGTCGATGGCCCTGGTCGTCTTTTCCATGACGTTGATTTTCTCGCTGGCGGAGGTCGGGTCAATGCCAACGAAGTTGCAAGGTAAGGTCAGCCACGCCAATGATGAGTCATTCCGCGGGCTGGTGTGCTGGCTAGGTCGAGCTATATCAGGCGGTGCGAGCCATAATCGTCCAAGACAAACCAGGCCAAGACACGCGTCGGCAAACGAAGCACGCTCGAATCATGCTGAAGAGAGCTGTTGAGCATACACCATGCACGTTGAGGTGTGACTGCAGGGGAGGCCAATGATCAACTCGATATGCGCCTCGGTGGTCCCAGATGGCACGGTTTCATACATTGATGTTCCGATGATAGCGGGGATGGGGAATGAGTTGGCTCACTTTTTCGCGGCGTTGGACCCGCCCGCCCAGGGAAGCGACGCTGACTCGATCGAGACCCCGACGACTGGCATCTCGGAGTGAGGTGGCCTCCCAGAAGCGGCAGGGCATCTTTGGATGCAGAGACTCGGCCACCCCAGCAAAGGTGGAGGCGCTTTCCTCGTGGGGGTGTCAATGCCCTCCCTTTGGTGGAGCGGCCAAGATTTTGGCATTCCAAACCGTGCTCACTCGTATTACCTCCACCATCTGGGCCTCGGAGGTGTGAGCTGGGACTGGCGGCGAAGTGTATGCAAGAAAAAGGAGATCATTTACCAGATCGTTGTACGCGTGTCCCCGCGACTCTCCTGGTGCGGGAAAGGGGAATGGGGAAGGAGACAGGTATGGGAGGGAAATGGGAAAGTGGGTGTGAAATGGTGGGGAGGCGGGTTGCTTGGGCGGTGGTAGGTAGGAAAGGGAACGAACCATGAAGGATGAGGAGGATCATGGATGAGGGATTAGGGATGGGGCAGTAGGTAGGAGGAATTGGATGGGGAGGATGATGAGGATGAGAATGAGGATAAGGAAGAGCGTGAGGAAGAGGATGAAGATGAGGATGAGGAGGAGGACGTGGAGGAGGGGGAGGAGGAGGAGGAGGAGGAGGAGGAGGAGGAGGAGGGGGGAGGAGGATGAGGCTTGGGAGAAGGAGCAGGAGGATGAGGAGGAGGAGGAGGAGATGATGGAGAGGATGAGCAGAGGAGGATCAGAGAAACATACTGAGGTGAAAGATGACGAGAGGAGGGAGATGGGGACGATGAGGGAGGATGAGGAGGATGAGGAGGAGGACGAAGAGGAAGAGGAGGAGGAGGGGGAGGAGAAGGCGGAGGAGGAGAAGGGGAAGGAGGAGGAGGAGACGGACGATGAGGAGGATGAGGCGGAGGAGGAGGCGGAGGAGGAGGAGGAGGAGGAGGAGGAGGAGGAGAAAGAGAATGAGGACGAGGAGGACCATGTATGAGGGAATGGGGATGATGGAGTAGGAATGTGATAGGGGAGGATGAGGAGGATGAGGACGAGGAGGAGGATGAGGATACGGATACTGATGCTGCTGATGATGCTGATGATGACACTGACGACGACGATGATGGTGCTCTTGATGGTGATGATGCTGATGCTGCTGCTGCTGAACATGATGATGACGGTGGTGATGATGCCGATTATGATGATGATGACGATGATGATGATTATGATGAGGATGATGCGGATAATGATGATGGTGATGGTGATGATGATGCTGATGCTGATGCTGATGATGCGGATGAGTATGATGAGGAAGACGAGATTGAGGATGGTGATGCTGGAGGCGATGATGCTGATTCTGATTATGATGGTGCTGATGGTGATGATGATGGCGATGAGGCTGACGATGCTGACGGTGCGGATGATGATGATTATGCTGTTGCTGATGCTTATGATGATGCTGATGATGATGGCGATGATGATGCTGTTCGTGCTATTGCTGCTGGCGATGGTGCTGCTGATGATGCTTACCATGGTGATGAAGCTGGTGCTTACGATGCTGATGTTAATGCTGATGATGCTGCTGATGCTGATGCCGATGCTGATGTTGATGCTGATGATGCTGATGCTGATGTTGCTGATGGTGATGCTGGTGATGCCGATGATGTTGACGATGACCATGATGCTGATGATGATGACGCGGCTGCTGCTGTTGATGACGATGATGCGGATGATGCTGATGATGTTGGTGATGATGCTGACGATGCTGACGATACTGATGCTGACGATGATGATGCTGCTGCTGATGATGATGCAGATGCTGCTAATGCTGGTGCGGGTGCTGCTGCTGCTGATGATGCTGCTGCTGATGATGATGATGATGATGATGATGTTGATACTGCTGCTGCCGATGCTGCTGATGGTGCCGATGATGATTCTGATGCTGCTGCTGATGATGCTGATGATGCTGATGATGATGATGATGGTGAGGATGGTGGTGGTGATACTGCTGCTGCTGCTGTCGATGCTGGTGCCGATGATGATGCTTATGACGATGCTGGTGATGATTGTGATGATGATGATGACGATGATGATGATGATGATGATGATGATGATGATGATTATGATGATGATGATGATGATGATGATGATGATGATGATGATGATGATGATGATGATGATGATGATGATGATGATGATGCTGATGATGATGATGATGATGATGATGCTGATGCCGATGCTGATGCTGATGTTGATGTTGCCGATGATGTTGCTGATAATAAGGATGATGATGCTGGTGATGACGATGATGGTGGTGGTGGTGGTGGTGGTGGTGGTGGGGGGATGAGGAGGGGGAGGAGGAGGAGGAGGAGGAGGAGGAGGAGGAGGAGGAGGAGGAGGAGGAGGAGGAGGAGGAGGACGAGGAGAGGAGGAGGAGGAGGAGGAGGAGGAGGAGGAGGAGGAGGAGGGAAGGACGAGGAGGAGGATGAGGAGGAGGGGGAGGGAGGTGGATGAGGAGCAAGAGGATGGGGATGAGGAGGAGAAGGAAGATCATGGATGAGTGAATAGGGGTGGGAAGCGGGGAGGGTGGGGAGGATGATAAGGATGAGGATGCGGACGAGGATCAGGATAAGGAACGGGACGAGGATGAGGATGATGATGAGGAGGAGGAGGGGAGGAGGAGGAGGAGGAGGAGGAGGAGGAGGAGGAGACGGAGGCTGGGGATACGGTGCTGCTGCGTGAGGAGGAGGAGGAGGGCATGGTGGAGAGGGTGGGGAGGGGAAGATTGAAGAAATATAATGAAGTGGCGGGTAAAGGGAGGAGGGGGTCGGGGACGATGATGGAGGAGGGGGAGGAGGAGGAGGAGGAGGAGGAGGAGGAGGAGGAGGAGGAGGAGGAGGAGGGGGAGGATAAAGACGAGGAGGAGGATCATGGATGAGGGAATAGGGATGGGGGAGGGGGAGTGGGAATTTGATGGGGAGGATGAGGACGAGGACGAGGACGAGGACGGCGGCGATGATGATGAGGCTGAGGATGATGCTGATAATGCTGCTCATGAACATGATGATGCTCATGAGATGATGACGTGGATGAGGATGATAATGATGATGATGCTGATGATGATGATGATGCTGATGCTGATACAGATGATGTTGCTGATGCTGATGCGGATGCTGATGCTGCTGATGATGATGAGGATGATGATGAGGATGATGATGATGATGATGTTGATTATGCTACTGATGATGATGCTGATGCTGATGATGCTGATGATGCTGATGATTATGAGCTGCTGATGCCGGTGCTGATGATGCTGATGATGCTGATGCTGCTGATGGTGATGCTGAGGATGCGGATGATGCTGATGATGTGGGTGATAGATGCTATGATGATGCTGCTGATGATGGTGCTGATGCTGTTGATGATGCTGGTGCTGCTGACGATACTGATGCTGGTGATGCTGCTGATGGTGACGAGGTTGATGACGATGATGCTGATGATGCTGAGGATGATGCTGCTGATGCTTCGGCTGCTGATGACGAGGAGGTGGATACTGATCATGATCCTGCTGATGAGGCTGATGTTGCGGCTGCTGATGATGATGATGATGCTGGTGACGATGACGACGATGCTGATGGTGCTGATGATGACGATGATGCTGCTGCTGATGATGATGACGATGATTCTGATGATGATGCTGATGACGGTGCTGATGACGCGGCTGAAGGTGAAGATGATGATGCTGACGATGATGATGTGGATAATGATGATGATGCTGCTGCTGCTGATGCTGCTTATGATGATGATGACGATGCTGATGCTGAGGCTGATGATGATGCTGATGAGGTTGATGCTGATTCTGATGCTGTTGACGATGATACTGCTGATGATGCTGATGATGACGATGATGATGGTGCTGCTGCCGATGATGCTGATGCTGCTTATGATGCTGATGAGGATATGATGATGAGGTTGCTGCTGATGATGCTGGTAATGATGATGGTGATGATGCTGCTGCTGATGACGGTGGTGATGCTGGTGGTGATGCTGGTGGTGGTGATGATGACGCTGATGACGATGATGATGATGATGATGATGATGATGATGATGATGATGATGATGATGATGATGATGACGTTGATGCTGATGCTGATCCTGATGCTGTTGATGATACTGGTGATGGTGAATGTGATGGTGATGTTGATGATGATGACGACGATGCTGTTGATGAGTATGATGATTATGTTGATTACGCTGATGATGAGGATGAATATGATGATGTTGCGGACGATGATGCTGCTGATGATGATGCTGATGATGCTTATGATGATGATGATGATGATGATGATGATGATGATGATGATAATGCTGATGCTGATGTTGATGATGAAGGTGATGGTGTTGGTGGTGGTGATGATGATAATGGTGGTGTTGGTGGTGATGATGATTACGATTATGGTGACGATGATGATGCTGCTGATGATGATGATGATGATGAGTAGGCGGGGACTGAGACGGATGAGGAGGATGCGGAGGATGGGGGAGGATGACTGAGGAGGCGAAGGAGAGGAGGCGGTGGAGGAGGACATTGATGAGGAGGAGGAGGAGGAGGAGGAGGTGGATGATGATGATGAGGAGGATGATGACGATGACGATCATGCTGGTGATGCTGATACTGATGATGATGCTGATGCTACAGACGATGATGATGATGCTGATGATGATGATGATGATGATGATGATGATGATGAGGATGATTCTGATTATGATGATGCCGATGTTGCTCATTATGAGATTGATGCTGCTGCTGCTGATGCTTATACTGATGAATCTGACGCTGATGCTGAGGATGATGATGATAATGCTGCTGCTGATGCTGAGGATGTCGATGGTGACGGTGATGCTGCTGATGATGATGATGATGAGGATGTTGATGCTGGTGATGATGACGACGATGATGATGTTGCTGATGCTGATGATGCTGCTGATGATGATGATGCTGTTGCTGTTGATGTTGCTGATGCTGATGGTGAACATGAGGATGATGCTAGTGGTGATGAGTATGATGATGGTGCTGATGTTGCTGATGATGCTGCTGATGATGCGGATGCTGATGATGGTGATGCTGACGATGATGATGATGATGCGGATAATGATGATGATGCTGCTGATGCTGATGCTGATGCTGATGGTGATGATGATGCTGCTGATCATGATGATGATGATGATAATGATGGTAATGATGACGCTGATGATAATGATGCA